CAAGATCAGTTCCCAGACAGACTCCAGATTTGGAAGATCTCAGGTCATATAAGATTCCACTATATGAAGTATTTTTACGGTTTGAGGGGTCACCTTGACGATGACACCACAGAAGGTCTTTCCCAGGTGACATCTTGGATTGGTCCCCGCACCAGTAAGCTCCCCCCAGTCATCGTTTGGGTGAATGCAGCAAAGGCAGGAAATGTTTATCCGGCACTTCCCATTGTGAGGCTCCAGGAATTGTGTGGGAATCACTCAATTTCTTTAAACCTGAGCTCTTTCCCTTTTCTTTGCTTTCTCTTCTCCAAAAATGCCTTTTTGGGGGCCTCCCTGGTGGCACAAGGGGTTAAGCACCGCACTATGAAGCAATCCGAAGCCTCTGCAGCACAAGTTCAATCCCCGGCCTGCCAAGGAGAGACCCACATGGTGCAGCAGACCTCTCCTGACTCTCCCGCTGCTCCCCTCAGCATTGTGATTCAGCCAGTCTGCCTGTTCTGCTCCCCACTCTGTCTCTGGTGAATCCTCTCACCCCCCACACTTCTGGCCTGTACCCCAGCTCTTGTATGCATAAATAAATAAATCTTAAAAAAAAAAAATGCCTGCTTTGCTGGGTGGCTTTGAGGACCTGATACGCCTTCCCCCTTTCCAGATTTTCTGGAAACAAAGGATTCTTCTTTTTTTGCTCTTGCTGCACCATCTCTCCAACACCCTCAATAGTATGTTTCTAAGATTTCTAAGATTCCTCATGTCGGACATATTCACTCGTGTAGTTCACTCGTATGTTCTGAGGAATATGATTTCGTTGTATTGATTTATTGCAGTTCACATACCTTCTCCTGTTGATTGAACTGAGTATTTGGAAATTTTCCATGGTTTTGCTTTTGCTAAACGTGTTGTTATGCACATTCTTGTAAATGTCTCCAGGGACGTGTGTTGGAATTTTGGGGTTGAAAAATGAATGTTTAACCTTACAAGATGATGCCAAATTGTTTTCTCAAGCAGTTGTACCATTTTATACTTCTCCCCTACTGGTATGATCTAAATGATTCTATTTATCCATATCCCCTCCCTCTTTGGTTTAATTGGAATTCTTAGTTGTTGCCAGTTGACATTATACAATGGTATCTCATTATGGCATGATTGCATTGCCCCAACTATTGGAGATCAATTTACTATAAAAATTAAAATTCTGGAACGTTTCCATTTTATTCCAATCTGAATTTGCATTCACCTTTGCAAACCAATTTGCATTCACCTTGGAACACACCCTTCTCTGCATCTTCTGCTCCCAACCACTGATCTTTTTTGCATATCACCTGCCTCGCCTCAAGATGACCCTTGTTTCAAACTATAATCTTTCCTCTTTAAAAGATTAAAGATTCACTTACTCTGTAATAGGGAAAGGGGAGTTTCCCTGCTCCACCCTAAAGAAGGGTGGAGCTAGCAGGGAAGTAAAGCTGAAGAAAGACTGGCAGAAGCAGCCAGGGAAAAAGCAGAGGACCAGAGGCACATGGAGCAGAGAGACATGTGACGAGAAGTCATGCTTGCTTCTCGGACTTGGACTTGCACCAGAGACTTGGGGAACACGGAAAGAGACGCTTAAAACAGAGATGGGTGAGGCCCATGGGGAGGCTGAGAATGGCAGCCTTTGTCTTTTGATTTCCCTCTTTTCCTTCCAGACTTCTGCCCCTTTCCTATGGGTCCCCACCAGAAGGTGCCTTAGACACGTACAAGCATTTGGGCCTCAGCTGCCCTGTTTTGGGCTCACCCTGTTTGTCATTTGCTCCTGAGGGGATGGGTAACTTGGGGTGCTTGATTTGGAAACTATATTCTTTCACTTCCACTTCTCTCTATTGCACACTCATTATTGCACACTGATTATATTCAAGTTCTTTTCCATTGAAGGTCTTATGCACTAGAGTATTTTTGTCTTGATGCAGCAGATGACAGAACCTATTTAGGGCAGGCAGGTTTCAGGGTCCCATCTGGGGTGCCCCTCATCTTGCCTACTAACAAGTCCATGAAATGTGTCTTTGTAAACATCAGTTAACATAAGTTACTTCACTTGATCGCTGAGTCCAAATGGGCTCCTCATACCCTATTGGTCAGAAGTGAGATTGTATGCAGGGCATTTAGCAACATATGTCAAGAAACTTAAACTTTATATATACTTTGACCTTGTAGTTATATATTTTTAAAAGATTTATTTATTTATGCATACAAGAACTGGGATGCAGACCAGAGGTGTGGGATTTGAATGGATTCACCAGAGACAGAGTGGGGAGCAGAACAGGCAGATTTACTGAAATTCACTGCTGAGGGGAGCAGCGGGCAAGTCAGGAGAGGTCTGCTGCCCCATGTGGATAGCTCCCTGACTGGGGATCGAACTTGTGCTGCAGTGGCTTCATAGTGGGTCATCTTAACCCCTTGTGCCACCAGGGAGGCCCCTGTAGTTATATACTTTAGGAATCTCTCCTAAGTTCAATATAGTGTCTCGGTCGCTGATCATCTGCTAAGTCATAGGATCACAGATTTATTTGCATGGGGATGAGACACCATTGAGGAAAAGTAATACATATGCCCCTGAGTGGGGAGAGGGGAGCCGTTGGGAGGACAGAGTGTTTTATGCTCTCAGCTTAGACCTGCGAGCCAGATTAATACCCTGGGGAGACAGCAGCTGCAGGAGGAAGTTGAAGCCCTTTCAGCAGGAACTTGGTGAACTCAAAAGGCAAAGGCACTGGGAGGAGCTGGGTGCCTCACACTTCCACACTGTGTGCCTGCTTGGAGATGAAAGGCAACTTTGGTGTGTTTATTGCTGTTTTTGGCAGTGCCCGGCAGATACCCTGGGGACACTACAGGGCAGGTAGTGGCAGGGTACAGTGGTTGTGATCTTGTTCCAAGAACATACAAGAGAATCTTGAGATTCCAGAACATGCTTGGGGAGAATTTACAGGTGACTAAAGTCTGTATTGTCAGGAGGAAGTAAAAGATCAGGGGAACTTGGGTATCGTGGGTAACACCACATCATAGAGAGCTGCCATGTGGTGTGTCCCTGGGTCTTTGGTTTGCATGAAGAAAAGTCAAATACATAGAGAAAAATTTTGTGCCTAAAATGTTCACTGTGTTATTTTTTAATAATTGTAAAAAAATTGAAAACAACCAGATTATTTCACAATGTTTTGTTGCTATATCAGGCATCTCAAATGATTTATAAAGAGCTTGTATGACTTGGAGAAATTCTTGTTATGATGCGAAATGGGAAAAGCAGTTTCCTATGTATATAGGAAAAAGGGTTGAGAAGACAGATATCAAGTGGTGGGTATCTCGAGGACCTGGCATTAAGAGTGATTTATATTTTCTTCATTTTGCACATTTTCTTGTGAAGTTAGCATTATTTGAAGTGTAACAACCTTAAAAATTGTAATAAAAACCCAAAATGTATATGTGTGTGTGCCTATGCACATACATAATGCATGTGTGTATATAAATATATATTGGGGGGCACAGTTGTCTCCAGAAGTAGCAGTGATTTCTCTTTCCAACCGCCATGGTGATTCTCCAAATACATAGTTCTGTTAAACACATTTGAATACTCTCTAGGTAGATATTGCAGGTTTCAGGTTTGGAAGGGAAATTAACCATCGCATCTTCTCACTCACTGGCCAACTCTTTTCTATACTCTCCTTCCTTTAAGGGTGGCCTCTGTGCAGATACCTCTACAAGGGACAAAGTACTGCTGCTGGAGCTAGCTCCCTGGCTCTGAGAAAGTTCTTATTTATTCTGAAATGAAATCTGTTTCTGCGTAGTTTTCACACATTAGGTTGTTTGATCCCCTCTCCCCGCAGGCCTCACAGATGAGAGGTCCTAGTTATGTCTCTTCTACGTGACAGTCCTTTAGTAATTTGAAGACAATGGTTTCGTTCTTCATGTTTATCTGTCCGTCTGTCCATCCATCCATCCATCCATCCATCTATCCAATGGTTATTTATTTGGTGCCCAGTGTCCACTGTGTGAAGTGTCATGGAAGCAGTTGAAAATACACTCATTTTTAGATCTCAGGCCAGTCACTAAGATTCTGAGATGTGCATATGGCAGTTTTATTGGGGAGTGTTTTGGGAACAGCACTTGGGAGGGGTGAGTGAAGCAGTCATGGGCAGAAAAGTTGAACTGTCAAACAGCTACAGCAGATACCTCAGCTGATCTTAAGGGGAGCTCTGGGGCTGACTCACCCTTCAGAGCTTTGAGGCAAGGTAAGGCTTTCTATGCCCCCACTGCTCACCCACTGGGTAGGGATTGGTCTAGCTTTCTTCTTGGGTGAATTCCCAGGAAGGGACTCCACTCGGAACTGTCCACCACCATCGCTCCCCTCAGCCTGGGGAACAGTGTGTGTTTTTCAGGAGAAACCTAGGCGGTGTGCCTTGTCTTCTACAAGTGGAGCAATAGCTGTTCTCCGCGGTAGGATATAGGGAGCCAATTATTTGAATAACTGTGTACAGAGTCCATGGGAGCACAGACAGCACCACCCAGGCCCACCTGCAGAGCCAGGTCAGACTTCCCAGAGAAGGAAACCTGTTTTAGGAGCTGGATGTCTGTAGGAGTATCCCAGAAGTCAAGGGTGTGGGAAGCAAGGAGCATGCTTCAGAGCAGCCTGTAGGCAGTAGCACACCAGCCCCCAGTGCTTGTCTGGGATTCAGTGCCCAGCAATGAGACACTTGGGATTCTGGTCTGCACCCCTCAGTGAATGTCATGCCTTGTGCCAAAATAGAGAACCTCAGGGCGGGGGAGAAGATACAGCAGCCTACTGTGATGATAAAAAAGGTGAGCGTGTGAGAGAAAGAATAGGGGTGTCTCACTTGTCATTTCTAGCCTTAGAGCTTCATGGGTCAATCTCGCCAAACATTTATCTCCCCCAGACTTGGCGCTACATAATCAGGACTGGTTGCCTGAATGTATTTTATCCCTCTCTTACCTCATCTACCTGTGTTTTCACAGACGTCCTGCCAAGCTGACGCTCATGTGAGGTCCTCCTGGAAGTGAGGTCAGATGGTCCTGAAGACTGAGCAGGCAGCCGGCAGCCTGGGTACTTTGGCGTGAACTCTAATGGGCCAGGTGTTTGAGATCCTGAGGAAATTAGCCCTGGCTGAGTCTCAGCATTTCTTGGCAGGATCCACTGAGAAGAAAGAAGACGAAGACATGAAGAGGAAGAGGGTGCAGCTGCGAGAACGCCTCAGTGTCCGGGACCGTCCTCATGGTCATCTCCTTGTTCCCATTTTTCTCTTTGCATAGAATCGCTTTGCTCACCCTTGCTACTCTGCAGCAGTAGAACTTTGTGATGCATGGCTGCCGGCCTCTCGTGCCTCCATTTCTCCATCTGTAACGTGGGAATGACTGCAGTCCCGGGTGCATAACTTGTTGAGAGGAAATGAGATCATCTGCAGAAACTGCTTCACACCAAATGCTTGCGTGGGGGAGCCTTCAGCTTTGGTGCTGATGCCCCTGGGTGCTAGTTTGTCTAGAGGCAAAGGCACTTATGCTGATCAGGAGTCTGAGCACCTGCTCTCCTGGATTTTTACACTCTTATTGCTCTTTCCCCAGGGACTTGAAATTAGTGGCTTCTCCCTACCTCTTAAAATCACTCACTTTGTAGGGTCTGCTGAGCCCAAGCTTGGGAAGGGGAAGTTTAGCTGCTAGTGAGTCAGAGAAATACTATCTTTGGGTTTGCTCACATCCTTTTAAGTGACTTCTGGCTTTCAAACTCTCCAGGTGGGTTTAGATGAGTTAGAGCTTCCCTAAAGCTTTCCTCAGATTTCCTCCAATGTGGTGGGGAATAGGCAGGCCCCTTTCCACTGGAGTCCAGAATAGACTAGCTGGGAAATTAGTCTTATCCCCATAGATAGTCATTTTGACTCAACTCTATAGGGGACAATTTGAATGAGAGGAACTTGTAATTCTGCAGGTTATGTGCTTTGTACTATTTCTTTTCCTTTGCTCTCGCAATTGTTGATACTACTGGTGTGACAATGAGGAATACACTTTCTTGTGACATCTCTTTCCTAATGGACTATGAAAACTTTTAGTGCTATTTCACTTCTGCAAGGGTCATACTTTACTCTTCAATTTATTTGCAAGATCCTTGGTGAATTCTTTGCTCCTCTGAGAGTACGTTGTAGGATTTCATGTTCTTGGTAGATTCTAGAAAAACACTTGAATTTTCTTAAGTCCCTTAGCTAGGTCTTATCCTCAGTGGTTTTGTTTCTTTTTATATAGGCCTAGTTGGTTTACACAATATTGGACGGACATGCTGCCTTAATACCCTGATTCAAGTACTCATTATGAACATGCGTTTCACCAAGATATTGAAGAGGTGAGAGTATTATTTAGACTGATATGCATATATATGATTTAACATTTTAAAATATTTAGTTATTCACAGCAACTTGGACTTTTATATTTTATTGTATTATTTTTATTTTGCAACCATGGTTTGTAGCATTTCTCATCTAGATGCACACCTCTTAAGATGTCTGTTACACCACCATCCCCACCAAAGCTCCCATAATCCTCTGCCATATTCCTCTGAACCCCCTCCCAGACTTGACCTCTGTTTTCCACCCTTCCCCTCAGGTAGCTTCAGTTTTCACTGTCAAATTTCAGGGTTGGTGTTGGTTTAGTTTTTCTGTTCCTTTGTTTTGTTTCTCCATATTCCACATATGAATACAATCATCCATTATTTGTCTTTCTCCTTCTGACTTATTTCACTTAGCGTGATCACCTCCAGTTCCATTCATGTTGTCACAAATGGGAACATTTCATCTTTTTAATAGCTGAGTAGTATTCCACTGTGTATATACACCACATCTTAATCCACTCATCTGTCTTTGGGCACTTAGGTTGTTTCCATATTTGACTAATGCAGATGGTGCTGCGGTGAACATGGGAGTGCATCTGTTCCTTCAGATTAGTGTTTCTTTTCCAATTTGTATTCCCTTTATATCCTTCTCTTACCTAAATGCTCCAGCTAGGATGTGTTGAATAGTAGCATTGAAAGTGGACATCCTTGTCAAATTGGACTCTTAGAAATCTTCTTCCTAAATTTGCCTGAGAAAAGCTTCTGTTCTGTGCAATGTGGACTACATATCATAATCACCTAATACATTTAAATAATATAAGTGCCTGGTCCCACCCCCTAAGTATTTTTTTTTTTTCAGTTGGTCTGGGGTGAGGCCCAGCTATTGGTACTTTTTAAGCGACACCCCAGTTGCTTTTAAAGTACAGCTATATTTGAGAGTCACTGATTTGGTTAAAAAGAATTTGGGGGCCTCTCACGGTGGCACAGCGGTTGAGCGCTGGGCTGCGAAGCTGCCCACAACCTCTGCAGCACCAGTTCGCTCTCTGGCCGTGCCCGCTGCTCCCCTCAGCCATGTGTTTCGTCAGTCTGCCTGTTCTGCTCCCCCTCTGGCTCTGGTGAATTCTCTCACCCTCCCGCAATTCTGACCGTACCCAGAACTTGTATAAATAAATAAATAAATCTTTAAAAAAAAAAAAAAAAGAATTTGGGACTAGAACAATGTTGAAGAAAATAATGAGTGTCTCTGTTGATTTTTCTCAAACAAAACGTATACACACATAAAGTATATTCCGTGTATACGTGACATGTATTTATGCCTTTTTTCTTCCCCACGTGCTCTCCTTTCTCCCTTGCATTGGCAGAGACAATTGAGAGAGGCTCAAATACATTCCTATCCCTTCACCTTGCCCTTTGCTCCCAGGATGTAGGTCAGAATCTGGCCTTTCCCTCTGGAATGCTTCGGGTTGGTCATTTTGCTGTGGACCCAGGACCTAGTGCCCTTCACGTTAGTGTGATTGTTGGGCAGGGTCGGGAGGGGGTGAGGCAGCAGTTGTGCCAAGCACCCCCTGCAGAGAGTACTCTATAACCGATTTGCTAACTTGGTGGTCCTCAGCTGTGTCTGCACATTTCAATCATCTGGGAAACTTAAAAATTCTGACTGCACCCCACACCCCCACCCCCCAGAAATTCTGATTCAGTAAGTCTACAGAGTATTTAACATGAATTTTTTTGTTTAAGTTCCCCAAGTGATTCCAATATATACCTAGCACTGAGGCTCATGGGGGTAAGGAGAGTCACGGCTGTTCTTTTCTTGGCAGGATAACAGTGCCACGGGAAGCAGAAGAACAAAAGCGGAGTGTCCCCGTCCAGCTGCTCTTGCTGATGGAGAAGATGCAGGACAGCAGGCAGAAAGCCGTGCGGCCCATGGAACTGGCCTACTGTCTCCATAAGCGTGACGTGCTGTGTAAGGCTGGGAAGCGAGCCCCCACCTCGCCAGGGTTAGCAAGGGCGTAGAAAGAAATGGAGCCTTCGCACACTGTTAATGGGAAACAGCACCTGTGGAAAACAACATAGAACTTCCTCGAAATACTAAAATGGATCTACTCTATGATCCAGAAATTTCACTCTTTTGTATCTACCTAAAGAATTAAAAAACACCTGTTTAAAGGGGTGTATGCACTCTGATATCACTGCAGCACTGTTTACAATAGCTAAGTTGTGGAAACAACCTAAGTGCCCAATGACACATCTGTGGATTAAGTGTGTAATGGATTAAGTAGAGGTGGCTTTTATACATCCACAGGGGAGTACTTCCTAGCTATAAAGGATGACTTGTCATTTGTGACAATACGGGTGTTGCTGGAGGATACTGTGCTGAGTGAAATCGGGCAGAATTAGAAAGACAAATACCACATGTTTTTACTCATAAGTGGAGTATAGAAGCAAACAAGGAAACAGACCAACGTAAACAAACAAAACAGCATCATAGGAATGGACTGTGGAGTTGAGGCTACCAGAGGGGAGTTGGAAGTGGGGGGTGAAGAGGCTCGGGGCCAGTGGTCTAAGGTGGAGGATGATCGGTGCTGCTGTAGTGGGCAGGTGTGGTCACCTGCATCTGCAGAGGAGCAAACCTAAATCATGTATAGTTTGTGAACCCAGGTTACATTGGTAAAAAATGTAACGTGGAAACACTTCCCCCTTTATTGATATTCTATATTTGGTGAGACATTGTTTTCATAATTTCATTATATTGAAATGGGTTTAATTCTTTGAATACAGATTAATCTAATGCCTTTGTCTACTGAGGCTGACATCTGACTGTTCTCAGTAACAGTTTCCATTGATTTTTTTTTTCCTGATGTGTGTGGGCCATACTTCTGTTTCCTTGTGCATCTTCTGGGGTTGTTGTTTTTTTTTTAATTTTTTGTATATTTCTTGTATTTATTTATTAAGATTTATTTATTCATACAAGCACCAGGGTACAGGCCAGAGGTGTGGGAGAGTAAGAGAATTCACCAGAGAGCAGGACAGGCAGAAGGACCGAAATACACTGCTGAGGGGAGCAGCGGGCAAGACAGGAGAGGTCTGCAGCACCATGTGGGAATCTCCCCGGCCGGCTGGGAATCGAACCAGTGCTGCAGAGGCTGTAGACAGCTTCACAGCACTGTGCTCAGCCCCGCTGCACCACTGGGGAGGTCTTGTAGGTTTTTTTTTTTTTTTTAAATAAACATTTCAGGTACTATTGTATGGCAGTGCTAGAAATTAGAACCCCCCAGTAGTGTATGTTGTTGTGTTGTTTTCACTGTTGCTATTTGCTTAGTGATTTTCCTGGACTAATCCTCTAAAACCTACATTCCCTGCTGTGTGTGGCCAGTGAGTCACTGTCCCAATAGCTCAGAGTTAACTACTGCTCGCTTTGAATGAGTAAGATTTCCAGTCTTTGCTGAAGGGCTCATGTGCCTACGGGGGGCTCATGTTCAAAGCTCAGGCAGTTTATGACACTTTGTCTTCATTTCTTTTTTTATTTTTCTTATTTTTTTCACTTTGTCTTCATTTCTTTTTTTTTTTAAAGATTTATTTATTTATACAAGAGCTGGGGTAGAGGCCTGAGGCGTGGGAGGGTGAGAGGATTCACCAGAGACAGTGGGGAACAGAACAGGCAGAGCTACTGAAATAGGCTGCTGAGGGGAGCAGCGGGTGAGACAGGAGAGGTCTGCCACGCCATGTGGGTAGCTCCCTGGCAGGCCGGAAATCGAACCTGAGCTGCAGAGGCTGCAGACAGCTTCACAGCACTGTGCTCAACCCGCTGCGCCACCAGGGAGGCCCTGTCTTGATTTCTTGTTTGCATAGGACCTCAGAATCAGCCAGCTATGAGAGACTGGAGCCCTCTGAGGTCTTACAAGGGCAAGGAAATAGCCTTCTATTAATAGATCCCCAGTAATAGGTCAGTTTTTAAAAGGCCCCTATAGACTTCCAATTCCCCAGAACTTTCTTTGAAGTTTTTAGCAATACTCTTTTGCCCCAGCTGGTATTGCAACCTTAGATAATGATGCTATCAAACAATTGCCACTGATTGCTTTCCACAAATGCCCTGGGGTGGAGTTTTAAGATCTGAGTTAGGTCAAACAAAAACCCCTTCCTTCAAACAGGGCTTTCTCTTGGAGCATTAAGGTAGGTGAAATAATGAAAAGCCTTGTTTTTTTAAAGATTTATTTATTTATACATATAAGAACTGGGGTACAAGCCAGAGGTGTGGGGGGGGGTGGGTGAGAGGGTTCACCAGAGACAGAGCAGAACAGGCAGACTGACTGAAATACACTGCTGAGGGGAGCAGTGGGCGAGACAGGAGAGGTCTGCTGCGCCATGTGGGTTGCTCCCTAGCTGGCCGGGGATAGAACTTGTGCTGCAGAGGCTGCGGATAGCTTCACAGTGCTGTGCTTAACCCCTTGCACCACCAATGAGCCCCGAAAATGCTTTTTTGAAGAGCACTAATCCTACTCTGCACCACTGCAGAGCTAAGAAGAAAGAATTGAAAATCAGCCTAAAAGGAAAGGCCTCTACTCCTTCTCTTCTTATTAAGGTTGTTTAGTATTTTTCATTGTGAAATAAACACTCCTAAGATTTTGGTAAACGTTAGGTTTATTTTTAGTGTTCTGAAAAAAATTTGACATGGACAGTTTTTGCCAGCACTTTCATTTCTTTTATAATACACCATGGAATGTTACTCAGCAATCAAAAAAGATAAACACGTGTAATTTGCAGCCACATGGATGGCGCTGGAAGGGATCATGCTCAGCCAAATAAGGCAGAAAGAAAACGAAAAATACCAGATGGTCTCACTCATAGCAGGAATTTAGAAAACCTAAATAAGGGACCAGGAAAAAGACTATAATAAAGAAAAAATCAAAATCAACAAGCAACTATAAACCAGAGACACACTCCAGGGGAGGGGGGTGGATTAGGGTCAAAATAAGGGGGGGTGCAATTATATGGGGAATATAACCAAAATTAAAATGCATACATTGTGCAAAAACGAAAAATGATGTAAGAAATTTTATAAAATAAAATATATTAAAAGTAAACAAAATAAACAAATAAATAAAGAGTGGCTTTATGGAGACTCGACGCCACCGTTCTAGGTGCCGTCTCACCTTTCTTTAGTTTCCACAGCAGTTTATACTCCTTAGCGAATTTTTCTTATTCTTCTTTGAATTATGACTATATGGGTACTTGTCCTCTATTCGAATATTTGTTTCTTGGTCACAGGGACTTCCTCCAGCATGTGCAATACCTTGCATATAGCAGGTTTAAGTAAATTATGGGTTGGGCAACTATCACTGTATGTCTTAGATGAGAGGGGCCTCTTGGTTCTGCTATGGTCACATGAGGCCAAATGTCTCAAAGTAGCAGGGTGATCTGACTTCCGCATGTCCAGGGTTGGCTCTGTGGCAGGCAGCCTTCTAAATTCCCTGGAGACAAAACAGTGCAATCTAGCCCACTTGTCTTTAAGTTTTAGGATTGTTATCTTAGAATTCAAGTGCATTAATCCACTCAACTAATCATAATGTTCACCTATTATGTGCCAGGTATTGTGCTGTTGTGTCAATAAGGGGTTCAGGCTGGCAGTGTCTTTGCATCCATGGATCTTATAGTTTAGAGAACAGATAGGCCAAATGAAAAATAAGGCAAACAGGGCCTCCCTGGTGGCACAGCAGGTTGAGCACTGCGCTGTGAAGCTATCTGCAGCCTCTGCAGCGTGGGTTCGATTTCCGGCCGGCCAGGGAGATTCCCACATGACAGGGAAGACCTCTCCTGTCTCACCCGCTGCTCCCCTCAGCAGTGTCCTTGGTCCATCTGCCTGTTCTGCTCCCTGCTCTCTCTGGTGGATTCTCTCACCCTCCCACGCCTCTGTCTTGTACCCCAGCTCTAGTATAAATAAATAAATCTTTCAGAAAAATAAGGCAAACAAAGTGAAGCCCCAAAATTGTAAGTACAAATTATGCTAATATCATGAAGGTAATAAAATGGCTTTGATATAGTAGATGTGAATATTTATTTAATCCTTTGACAATAATCACTTCAATGTCTTTGCCTTTTGGCAGACACCTGTTGTTTTATAAAATACTCCTCACTGTGTTTTTCATTTTCTTTGGCTTCCTGGATTTCCCTTGAATAATACTTCCCCCCACTCCCTGGCAAATACTTATTTTCTTAATGCAATACAAAAGTATTTTATTTACTCACCCCCCAAATTATTTTTATTGAGGTGACCTAGGTTTACATCTTTGTATCTGCTCTGGGGGTGATAGGTTCCAGCCTCTCCAAATGGATACTTGCACACTCTGCCCACCACTGGTACTTTAAATTCATTTATACTTCTCACATTTATACTTCTCACCTTTAACCTTACATTTTCTTGTATAACATATGTAGCATTCACTACTTAATTCCTGCCCAAGCCAGCATCATCAAACATTTCCTGTTTTCCTAGACACCTTTGGGGAAAACCTGGTTCAAATATGAGTACGAGGAAACTGCTCGATATTTAGGGGAGTGAAAGAGGAAAATGCATAAAAGAGACAGAGAAGTGAATGGCTGTAGGGGTCCAGTTAGAGAACTGGACTGGGGGAGAATCCATTCTGACTAATGGTTTTATCTTGGAGGTCCGTAGGGTGGGTGGCAAATTAGAGGACAGAAAGCTTATGTGCAGTGGGATCAGATTTTAAGTTTTAAGAAGAGTTCTCAGAAATCATTATCAAGCTTCTTTTTCATTTACTGAGCATTTAACATGGAACAGCCTGAAAAAGAGGGACGGCTGTGAAGGTGGGGGGTATTCGTGTGCATCCTGGTCGTCAGGGCAGAGGGCGTGAGATGTGTCCCCGGTGGCCTCACTTATCGGGCTGTAACTTTTCTCTTTGGCCAGTGTCTGTCCAGCATGATGCTGCTGAACTCTACCTTACAGTCTTGAACCTAATTAAGGAGCAAATCACGGATGCAGACCTGGTAAGATCCTAAAATCAGAGACTCAGAAGCTTAAGGTGCTGCTCACTTGACTCATCCAACTATCTTTAATACAATGTGCAGAGAGGAGTAAGATCCAAAACGTACATAAAACCCTTATCACAATTCCCTAATTTTACAAGTGTTCCTATCTTGTACCTTATGAGTACCAGCCTTATCCGTGGCTGGTGTTTGTGGAGCTTCTGTCTCATGACTCCAACTTCTGGAAACTGGCCGGGTCTGGTTTATTTATGGCTTTGTGGTAGCACTTTCTTCCTCTCTCCTGCAGGTGGAAAGGCTGCAGAGTCTGTACAGGATCCGGATGAAGGAGTCCCTGGTTTGCCTTGAGTGTGGCCTGGCAAGCAGCCAGTACAGTAACAGGCTCACCCTACCCCTTTCTCTTTTCGATTTGGACTCAAAGCCTCTGAAAACACTGGTGAGGGATGCCTCTTGGTGACTTTCTTATTCCCATTCCACCCCCTGAACAATGCTGCCCAGATTCCCTGGTTTCTTTAATCCACCCTTGGCTGAAAATTTTCAGTTCCTACTTCCCGTTTCCTTGTGTTGCTTCCTTAACAAATGCCCCTCCTGTTGTTTGCCCCCTATCAGTGGGTACTTTTTGAAATCCTACTATGTGCCTCGCATTGTGTCAGAATCTAAGGGGACATGGAGGCCTCCAGAGAACTTGAGTCCCCACCTGCAGGGCGAGGGGTCTCTCGATGGGGAACTCATCCTGCTGTTGTCTTGTTCTGGCACAGGAGGATGCCCTGCGCTGTTTTTTCCAGCCCAAGAAGTTAGCAGGTGAAAGCAAGTGCTTCTGTGAGAACTGTGGAAGGAAGACCTTTAGGAAACAGGTACTCACATGGGTGTTTTCGAGCAGGTTCCTCAAGAGTCTTCACAGAGGCCCTGAGGAAACCTTGTGGTGGTTGGGGGAGGGGAGCGGCATCAAGGTCTTCCCTGGGATCCTGGGACTTCTGATTTCCAGAGTTGTGTAGACTCCGCAGCGCCAGGTGGGAGGAGACTTTGAAGGAAAAGAGAAGGCCCAAGAGCAACCGGAAGAGTCTTCGCTTAGGGTTAGCCGAGCTCCCTGCAGCAGCCTCTAACTCACCTGGGTCCTGGCACTGGTGCAGAGCCCAGGGGCTGCCATGCCTTCTCAGGCGAGCCCAGCAGATTCAGCACACGAAGAAAATACCACCGACGCTGGTATTTCTCCGACCCCTCTTCAAGTGCCTTCGGACTTCCTGTTGACAGTGATTTTACTTTTTCAGGTCTTCAAGTTGTCCCATCTGCCTGAGACCTTGACAATCCACCTTCTGCGGTTCTCCAACAAAAATTCAAAGACAGAAAAAGTCTGCCATTCACTGTATTTCCCCCAGAGCTTGGATTTAAATCAGGTCCTTCTGGATGAGCAAGATCTCTGTGATGTGGAGGAACAGGTGAGATGCTCTAAACTTCCCTCCATCTTCCAGCTCATGAGACATCCTTGCGTGGTTCCTCCCCTCAGTTTTAAAACGCTTGAAGTCCCACTCACCAGAGATGGTGTTTTTGGGTGTCTTGTCTGTGGCACTCTCTAATCTCAGACATCAAGTCCTCTGCTGACTCTGCCCAGGACACACAAAGGGAGGAAAACGCCACAGCCTCTGTGATGCAGAGACACATTCATATATTCAAGGAACACTTACTTTTGTGTCCTTAAATCACCAGGCAGGGCCATGGTCACCACATAACACCACCCCTTTGTTGTCGACACAAGTGCTAAAGTTTGCATTGATACGCGTGGGTCTCATAGTTCTGAGGGAAAGAACCAATACTTCAGGACCTTCCTTTTAAATAAGATGTGTAGGGCCTCCCTGGTGGTGCAAGGGATTAAGACAGAACCTATAAAGCTGTCCGCAGCCTCTGCAGCATGAGTTTGATCCCCGCCCAGGGAGCTACCCTCATGGTGCAGCAGACCTCTCCTGACTCGCCCGCTGCTCCCCTCAGCAGTATATTTCAGTCAGTCTGCCTGTTCTGCTCCCCACTCTGTCTCTGGTGACTCCTCTCACCCCCTGCATCTCTAGCCTGTACCCCAGCTCTTGTATGCATAAATACATAAAATCTTTAAAAAAAATACTCTGCATAGATCTTCAACTAAAATAGAGAGTAACTTGAATCCCCCCCCTTTAGGTGACTTAACTTAACCTGCAGTGACTTCAGCCCTGTTCTTCCTCAATGATGCTGTTTGATGGTCTTAGGGTCATTATTCAGTTGTGTTGAGAGGAAGGACTAAAGTATCCCTGAGCGATGCGGAAATCCTTTTCACAATCCATCAACACTGTCTCTCCTGCCACTATTTCCTTTTCCTAGAGAATCACTTCTTATCTTGACTTTTTGTGTCATATCCCAAAAGGGCAGGTTTATTAGAAAACAAGGAAAGGAGAAGAAGACTTATACACAGACACGAGGTGCAGAAAGAGCTTCATTCAAAAGTATGGTCTGAGAAGCCTGCACAGGCAGAGGGGGCAGGCGTGGGGCGAAAGCTGCCTTTTCTTGACTTTCTACGGCTTAAGGAAGTAGAATGACTTGCTGCCAAATTTAATGGACACTTGCTCGTCTTTCTTTTATTTGAGCTCTTTGTGGTATTCTGTGTGACTTAGTCTACCCTCCTTCAAAACCAAATCTGTCTACCCATGCGTTCTCCCCCAGGGTGTCTTTCCTCATAGTCTGTCCCTTTTCTGACCCTCCTTTCTGTTGACATTTAGCCTTAATTCCATTCCTCTTCTCCGATTTTTGAATGTCATCTTATTAATGCTCAGGGTTTCAATGATCACCTCAAACTGGAGACTTTCAAATCTATTTCTCCTGAGCTTTCTTTCTCTTGAGCTTCATATCAGTGCACTGGATGTCATCACACAGCTCCCACATCTTCTGGCCCAAACAGCTCTGTTCCACGTTCAACCCCATAGCCCTGATATCTCTCTCTCTCCTACCTGGAATCCATCCTTACAAGCACCTCTTCCTTGCTCTCCTCCCAACGTCCAGTCAGTTTGTTATTTGTTATTAACATTATCTGTTATTAATTTATTAATTGTTAATTAATTAATTTATTAATTGTAATTAATTTATTAATTTGTTATTTAACCTGTTAAATAACAAATACTTTGTTATTTCTCCTTAATTTGCGGTGTCTGCCTCTTCATTTCTACCTTCACTTTTACTTCCTCAATACTGTATAGCATAGGGGTTAAGAACTTGGACTTTGAAACCAAACAGGTCTATTCTATTTATAAGCTCTGGCCTTTGATAAAGTACCTTGCCTTCCTGAGTTCAGATTCCATCTCTGCAAAGTAGGATTTATACTGGTCATCTACCTTATAGGATTGTTGTGAATGTTGAATAAATTAATGTATGTAAAGATTTAGCCAAATGTATAGTGAATGCCAAAACCTAGTTCATTATTATGTTAATAATATCATTTTTGTAACTACGCTGATAGTGATGCTCTAGGCTGATTCCTTTCTTTATTGCATTATTATAATTTATCTCACTGGAATGGCACATATTAAAAAAACTAGCAACAACAAATGTTGGCGAGGGTGTGGAGAAAAAGGAACTCTCCTGCACTGTTGGTGGGAGTGCAAACTGGTCCAACCACTATGGAGAGCTGTGTGGAGATTTCTGGACCTACTAAACATAGAGCTTCCATAGGATCCAGCAATTCCACTCCTAGGTATTTACCCAAAGGACACAGAAACATCAATTCCAAAGAACACCTGCACCCCTATGTTTATAGCAGCACTGTTTACAATAGCTAAGCTTTGGAAACAGCCCAAATGCCCAAAAATAGATGACTGGATCAAGAAGATGTGGTACATATACACCATGGAATATTACTCAGCATTCAAAAAAGATAAACACATGCAATTTGCAGCAACATGGATGGTGCTGGAAGGGATCATGCTCAGCGAGATAAGCCAGAAAGAAAAAGAAAAATACCGGATGGTCTCACTCATAGCAGGAATCTAGAAAACTTAAATAAGGGACCAGGAAAATGAATAACTATAAGAAAGAAAATATCAAAATCAACAAACAACTGTGAACCAGAGACACTGTATGGGGGGTGGGGGGCAGGGAAAGGAGGGCTTGGGGTCAAAATAAGGGGGTTGCAATTGTATGGGGAATATAAAAATAAAATTTAAATTAAAAAAATCAATCTTAAAAATAAATAATTTATCTCACTGGAAAGTTTCTGTCTCATATGGATTCTCACCCAGTTTCCAGCCACATTACTTCAGTATGTTCGTCAAACACAAATCTGATGATGTGCTCTCTGCTTAAAACCTTCTGAGCTCTCCCCATCACTCAGGGGAAAAATCCTAATTCTTAATTTGATCTTTGTAGCTTCTTCTTTTGTGTTGTCCCAGCACCCTCTCTGACTTCCAGTTCCTCAATATACTCTGCTCCATTATGCTGCTGGGTTTTTATAGTTTCTGTTTCCACATTCAAGGGGACTCCCTTCTTGTAACTGCCCTGTCACTCTTGTTCTTTCTTCAAAATCAATTCAAGCCTGTCAGCTCTGGGAAGCTTCCTTGGGTTCCTCAGCTGGTTGTTCCTTCTCCATTTCTTGGGCAAAAGTTGGGTGTTCTCAAATTAGCCTGTTAATATACCTGGTAGGGCCTCTCCTGGTGGCGCAGCAGTTGAGCGCTAGGCTGCGAATCTGCCCGCAGCCCGGGCGAGGGTCCCACATGGCACGCAGATCTCTCCTGCCGCGCCCACTGCTCCCCTTAGCAGTGTATTTCGTCAGTCGGCCTGTTGTGCTCCCTGCTTTCGCTCTGGTGAGTTCTCTCACCCTCCCGTGCTTCTGACTGTACCCAGTGCTTGTATAAATAAATAAATAAATAAATCTTTAAAATTATATATATATTTATATATATATATATCTCTGGTATAAGTCACAACATTAACTGGGAGATTCTTGAGGTCAAAAACTGTTCTGTAATTTCCTTGAACAAACCAGTGCCTGGCAAAGAGTAAGCAGTGAGTAAATGTGTGAGGAAATTGTAATTCCTTATTCTGGACGAGGGTGGGGAAGGTAGGGGTGAATGTTGTGTCACTTTGTGCCACCCTCCTTCCAGCCCCAGGGACAGTATGAACTCTTTGCTGTGATCGCCCACGTGGGAATGGCTGACTTTGGTCATTACTGCGCCTATATTCGGAATTCTGCGGATGGGGAATGGTTCTGCTTCAACGACTCCAATGTTTGTTGGGTAAGGAACATTATTCAAAATTGTCTCTTGCTCCAGATTAGCCACTTCCAATAAATTCTGAGTACTTGATTGTCTAGGGTCTCAATGTGTCTCAAGACACATCATGAGCCTATTATCTGTGTGGAAGACCTTTTGTGAGGTTTAAAGCCCTCTTTTTCATGGAGTCCCCATATAGTTTACAACTCTCTAACACTTACCCCAGGGTCTGGCAGTTTCGTGCTTATTGGGAAACTTATGGAAAACAGTTAGAAATAGCTAAGTTAGAGCTCTGGGCTAAATATAACTAAGTTTTAGCAGAGGGGACCAAAAGGAACCTCATATCTTATCTCTAGGTGATCCAGGTGTGGAGACTTTATAGGGGTGAGTTTGTCTGGAGCAGTGAGCAAGGACAAATTGTAGCATCCTATACTCTCTGGAAACCTAACAAGTGTCAATGGGCTGCTTCATTTCCTCCATTTGTGCACCTCCAGGTATCCTGGGAAGACATCCGTTGTACCTATGGAAATCAGTACTACCGCTGGTAAGAGAAATACCTGAGCAATGATTTGCTTACAGAAGGTTCTTATGGCTGTAGGAAACTCTCATGATTTAACTGCCACTTAGAGTTGTGTAACTCCCCAGTGACTAATGTTCCATGTTCATTCCACTGCACCATGCTTTTCTCACAATTTAGATCCCTTTTCTAATTATATTTACTATATCATCCTTCATTTTTGTACAATGTATGACTTCCCCATGAACTTCCCACCACCAGTTCACCCGTGCTCCATCACCATTGGCCCTTGTGCTCTCCCACCCCTGTCCTGATCCCTCTCCCTCTTCCTCCCCTACAGAATGTCTCTGGTCTATGGTTACCTGTTGATTTTGATTTTTACTTTATTATAGTTTTTTTTTCCTGATCCTTTATTTGGCTCCTCTATATTACTCCTATACATGAAACCATCTGATATTTTTCTTTTTCTTTCTGGCTTTTTTTTGCTGAGCATAATCCCTTCCAGCTCCATCCATGTTGTGAATGGCATGAGTTTATCCTTTTTGATTGCTGAGTAATATTCCAAGTGTATATACAATTTAGATTCTGCTAAAACTAAAGTATAAGTAGCTCCTCAAACATTGTATCCTATATCTTCCCTGCATGACTTGGCACGCGCAGTTCCTGGCCTCTATTGCTCTCTGAATTTATCATGGAGGCAAATGCCTACTCATGCTTTAACACTGCTCCTCATACCCTTTTCCTACTCTGTAAAGCCTCATCCATTCGCCAGGCAGGGAATCCTCATCTGCCCCATATTAAACATAGCTCACTTACAGCAAACACCACACTGCTTTGTAATCATTTTCTTACATGACTTTCTTTTACACTAGTTACTGAGCATCAGGGGCAGGGATCATTTTTTTCTTCTTTCTTGGTGTGGAACAGTGTCTTGCATTTAGTAAATATCATTAATATATTTAAAATTAAGAACTACAGAGGGGAAGCTGGAGAGAAAGGAGCTAAAGCAGAGACTAAGTTTCTCCAGCTGAGTTTCTGGGTTGGGGTGACATTGTATACCGGAGGTGACATTTAAAATGATTTCAGATGCAGAAGGAGGCCTGATCATTTGAAAAATAATGAATGAAGTACAGTTTGTTTTTTAAATATTCTTCCGGCCTTCAACCTTTCATCTTTCTCTTTGGTCCAAATATCTTCCATAGACACCACTTTCTGAGTATCAGCGATTCCAACATTATGTAGATCAGGGCTTGGCAAATTTTCTCTGTAAAGGGCCAGTGAATAAATATTTCAGGCTTTGTAGGTCATATTGTCTTTGATGCAGCCACTCAACTCTTTCCTTGAAACACAAAAGCAGTCACAGGTGATACACAAATGAATGAGTGTGACTGTGTTCCAATTAAATTTATTGGCAAAAATGGTCTGATTTGGCTCATGGACACTTTGTTGTTTGATTACATGTTCATTAACAGCAGCATAGCTGGCATTGTCACCAGACAAGGACAGAGGAAGATTTGCTCCAACAACTTGGACTTAAAATGAATCAATAATGTATCATTTAACTATTTCTGCTATACTGTTATTTTCTTTTTTTGCCTTCTAGGCAAGAAACTGCATATATTCTGGTTTATATGAAGAACGAATCCTAATGGCTATACCTTCAACCTTCAGAGACTCAAAGTATAGATGTCTTTACTATTCCTGTATATGATGACTCTTTTAAGCAATTTTGCATCGAGAAGAAGCACCCATTTCAAATTCATAATAACAATGGTCTATGATTTGCTTATGAAAAAGAAGGAAATCTTGTTTTTCTTTTGTGACAACATGGATAAACCTGGAGAACATAATGCTAAGAGATATACATCAGACAGGAAAATACTATCTGAACTCACTTATTTGTTCAATCAAAAAATGCTGAACTTATAGAGAGCAGAATGGCACTTATCAGCGGCTGGATGGTGTTGAGAACATGGTCAAAGGGTGCAAACTATCATTATGAGATAAATAGCATGCGGCTCTCATGAATAGTACTGTATTTGTGCACTTGAATTTTGCTAAGGGAGTAGATCCTAAATATTCATACCACATGGAGAAAAAAGGAACTACTTGAAGTGCTGGATGTGTTAACTGACTTAGTTAAGGTGAACATTTCACAATGTATATGTGTATAAAATCATCACTCTGTGTACTTTTCATATAAATACAATTTCATTGTCATTTATTCCTCAGTGTTTGCTAGAAAAAATGACTTATTACACTTGGAAAAATAATATTTAAAATTGCTTCAAATTTCCAGTCTTTAAAAAAAAAACAAGTTGTGGAAAAAAAACAAGTTGTAAAATAAACCTTATTTATAATCATAAATGATTGTCAAAATATTTATTGGTGACATGGGTCTTGATTAGTCAGAAAGGTCACTTTTGCCAGTGGACACCTGTCACATGGCTGAAGCAACATTCTGAGAGTGTCCTTCCATGCCAGGAGCCTATCTTTCAGTTGGGAGATTGTGCAGTCCAGGGACTGCTGATGCCAGACAAAACCAAAGGGTACCCAGAACCTCAAACTGTTATGGGGAAAAACCCAAGTTGCCCATTCTAAGGGTTTGGCCAACTGTACGTGCATAAAGGAGACTCTTACCGTGCTCAGTGATTTTGAATTGGTGAGAAGTACAAAGGCATAGAGAGACCATGTGTTATATATGTATATAGGAATACTACTCGGCCATCAAAAAGATAGACTCCTGCCATTCATGGCAGCATGGATAGAATTGGAGCAGACTCCCCTAAGCAAAATTAGTCAGAAGGAGAAAGACAAATGCCAGATGGCATCACTTATATGTGGACGATGGAAAGACAAAACAAATTGTCAGATAAATCCAAATGGTCAGAAAAATCTACACCTTGCACCGTGGCAAACACACCCAAAAGGGGGATCCTGTGCTCCTCTAATATGGACAATGAGGTGAACCAATATTAACTCTATAAAAAATATTTGAAAAAAAAAAAAACCTTCCTGTCTATATTAGAAAATGACCACGGGTTGGGCAACATGTCACCGCTCAGAGCCCCACAGTCACAAGAAAAATGTCACTTCCAATTGCAATTATTTTCTTCCCTTCAGCTCATCTTTTCGGTCTCATTGAACCTAATAGTCTCCTCTGGGTTTTAAATAATTGCCTTCAACGAGAAACTTCAACTGCTGCCCTAGAGAGAATGTCATGTACTTCCTAATAAGTTTGCTTTCTCGTTAACGGGAAAGCGCGAGCTCGGGACTCCAGGGCCAGGCCAGACGGAGACTTCAGGGAACACCGGGCAGCAGCCCCGCGGCCCCGGTGCCCGGCCCAGCCCTGGCTGCCGAAGCACAGACTTTCTGATGGGTTCCGTGGTGAATTCCTGTCAGGGACGCGCCTGGGACAGTGATCAGAATGAGCACGGGAGTGAAGAGAAGGTAAGTGACGTGCTCCTGAGAGCCTGACTTCTGAGCACTCTGTCAGCTGTGCGCAACAGGAGCTTCTGCAGGGAAACGGTCTTGGTTCTTCCACAGGGCCATTTGCGGTGTGGAGGGACCCTCCTCTGGTGAGGTGATCAGAAAAATGAGCCTGGACCTGTGTCTTTTCCGGTGCTTCTGATGCGGGAACTCTGCTAATTCCCAGCATTCAGAGATAACAAAGTAAAAGTAAAAGTGAAAGAAGGGAATCCATACACTGAGTGCCAAACTCCTGCGACAGAGTTGATACAATGCTGTGTCAACTCAGGATGGGAAAGACAGAAAACTCAGATAACGCTCCCTCCAGAATAATAAACAACATGGTAATGTCTTCCTGGATGTCCTGTGTTCCCCATATTTTTCTTCTTGGAAAGTTCTCTTGTGTTTTAATCTGCTGACTGTCCTCTCCTGTACTCCCACCCGCTGCCACTTTCTCATGCATTTCAGTCACTCTGGAATTTGAAGCATCCATTCCAATCTCTCCTCCCTGAGCCTGCGAGGGAAACTTGCCACGACCTGACACGACACCTTCTTTCCTGGATGGGACCCTGATAGCTCTGCTTTCCCGAGGAGGTGTTGTTTCAGCTCCTCGCATAGCCTTTCAGGAAGGTCTCTGCTTGCCACTGGTGACAGGGACACCTTACAGCCTGCCACACACCCTCTAGTACCTCAGCCTTGAACACATGGCAGAAAACTGACAGCTGGAATGAAATAAAGTCACCAGAGATAGGTAGTGGATTTGAGGGGTTACTTATTCCACTTCTTGGCCAGAATCCTACCAGGGTAACTGGTAAATATTTTCTGTTTTTAAACCCCTTCGTATATAGACCCTACTGAGACAGTGTGAATTGTCTGAGGCAAGATGGGGGAGTTTAGTTCTGAGAATAACTTCAAGGAGCCCAAACGTGGCTTCCATGCTTACAGCACTGAGAACTCTTTCCTGCTGACCAAATTCCTCCTTCACGCACCTAAGGTCTGAATGCTGCCTCTCAGCTTCTGGCACCCCTCAAGCTAACTTGTCAAGCATGACCTTCCACACACACCCATTTATTTAGTCCAAAACATCTTTAAACAACACCTCTGGGCAAGGATGTTCTAGAGCAGTTTTAAATCCTCTTTTCACACTTTTACCCTTCACCATGATGGACCACCCCATGATTCATGTTAGTTTTATCTTGTTCTCGCCCATTTGTAAACCTGACTTCATTCCACATATCAGAACGAAAGGAAACCAGGGTCTTCCGTGTAGGCAATGAAAGTTCAGACTTATTTCCTAATAACTTGATACAGAATAAAACTACAAACTTTATTCTTAGTATTTAAAGAAATCTCTCACGTCTATACAAGATGTTTAGGATGGAGGGGGAGGTGCCCTTCCCTGTCACGTAATATAAATAGTTGCTTCGTCAGTCAGAGAAAAGGAAAGAAAAACACTGGCCAAAGTTACTACAAAGTGATGCAGAAATATTCCTTAGTTGGAGACCCTGGGCCTGCCTAAGACCTGTACTCAGTGCCTCTCATGAGTGAGAGCAGAAGAACGGAAGCAATTTCAGAATAGCTAGAAAGCATCCATTCCTTCAAATGCTTTAAACCGTGCAAAGGAGGGAGTAAAGTCATGTTTGGTGGGTCCTCACCATGAGCTTACAACTGCAGGCCATGACAGGCTCAGGATGCAACAAGGTTTATTTACGAATGGGTGATTGAAATAGGGCAACTGAGAGGAAGGAAAGAATGTCTAAGGCCACAAGTGGCAGGTTTTCCTACCCCAGAGAGTGTCCACAGTGCCCGGTAACCCAAAGCAAAGGCTGCTCATGCAGGATGGTACTGTCCCTTCAACTAAGGCCTCCAGCCGGCGGCACACCGGTAAGTGCAGGACCAGAAACCAACTCACAGTTGCAGCTGCAGGTGATCACCACCAGGTGGTGGTGCTGAGGGGGCGCCCCAGCAGCCGGCAACACCTAACTGCAGGCGGGCCTGGGAAGTGCAGGATGCTGGGCGGCCAGCGCTGGAGCCAACAGTATGATACTTTTCAGACAAGTCGTAGTCAGGGCTGGCAATCAGTAGGTCAGCCACATATTGTAGGAGGTCACTTCGTTTCAGTTGGAGCGTTCGAAAATGCCCAGGCATGAGTTCCCCCAAAGAGAGAATTTGTATAACCCTTGCAAAGCACAGTCCAGCAATATTGCAAAGTAGTTTTGAACACACGGTCCTGTCATTCCAAGGCAAAATCTTGCTGATCCTGGATATCTACTAAGAAGCAGAGGAGCACATCCTAAGTCCAGCCCAAGTCCCCGGGTATGGCAGGCAGCAAGAATTCGAAACCAAGTAAGGGACCTCCCTGGAAGTCTCCTACTATGAAGCTAGCCACAGCCTCTGCAGCACGAGTTTGATCCCAAGCTAGGGATCCCAAGCTAGTAGATCCACCTGTTCGGGTCCCCACTCTGTCTCTGGTGAATCCTCTCTCACATACCCCCGCACCTCTGCCCTGTACCCAGTTCTTGTATGCATAAATAAATAAATCTTTAAACAAAAAACAAATAGGTTGCTCCAGTGTCCACTGAAAAGTCAGTCAAATGCACCCACCTACCCACCCAGCACCTGGGGGCTCCAAGGGGACAACTGCAATAGGCTTTTTCAAATCAAGTGGAAATCCTGGGCCCTGGGGTAGTATGCACACTGACCCTTCCTTAAAGGCTCTCCTATTCTGCTTTCTCTCCATGAGCCTTCTCTCCTCCTTCTGAACTCTGTCCTGTCTTCTCTCTCAACAAATACCATCTCAGGCCAGTCCACCAATCAGGAAGGATTCATCTGTACAGCACCCTCGACTTTTGTTAATTTCCTCTTTATACTGTAGTCTACTGTAGTCTTTTCCGTTGAATTGCTGTCATTTGACTAAACAAAATTTTTAAAAGATTTATTTATTTATTTATGCATACAAGAGCTGGGGTGGAGGGTAAGTGGAACATGCATATATCAAGGTACCTCCAAAGGTACAATGAAATTGTACCTCCAAAGTTATAAATGACTGATAAATTACTTAGATGAAATTAAAATCTACACTTTCTATAGATATCTTTGATCAAATCAAGGTTTTTTTCTACTTTCCTAACTTTTAAAAATCATAAATAAATATTAATTCTTCCGTACCTATTAAAGACTCTATGACTTTTCCAAAAATAAAAGAATAGGCAAAAAAACTAAATCTATGCAAGAAAATAGGAAGTAGATCAACAGAGTTCTCGCGAACCAGGGAGCTGGGACATACCTGGGGGAGAATGATGTTAGTTGTAGGTTTGTCATGTTTCAATTTCCTTGCTTGTAATTGCTTTATTTAAATCTTCTATTTCTTTCTTATTCAGTCTTGGGTGATTGTATAAGTCAACAAAAACAACCCACTCAAAAAATGGGCAGAAGAACTAAAAAGACAGTTCTCCAAAGAAGAAATGTAAATGGCCAACACAGAAGATGAATACTTAACACAATCAGAAAATCAGAAAAAAACTTACGTAAATCAATGAACTTATTCTTAAAGGATGATCTTTGAAGTGGCGCCTTCAGCTTTATCATCAATAAGTCATGCAGATTGACAGTGGTGACAACCCTATTCTTTCTCTAGCAACTCTACTTTTGGATTCTGTGACTGTCTCCTGGAGCTAAAGACAGCCCTACTGGAAGTTTGCACCACTCCTTACCATTTCTATATGATGGGATGTCCTGAGAAACTTCTCTCTTTCCATAGACAGTCTCTTTGGCATTATTTTATTCAGCAC